TAAATTATTTTCATATAATAGAAGATAAATGTATATTTGATTTCATTGATATTAATTTTGAATTTTAATTGATTGAAATTGGAAATGATTGATATTTTAATTATTCACTGTAGGATGTTCAATGTTAGTGAAATGTAAAATTATGATATTCAAAATTTCGGAAAAATCGTATCCACAATTAACAATACCTTTTGTATGTTAATATTGATCAAGATAAGAAGAATGTGTAAAGGCGCAAATTTACTTTAGGCGAATGATCCTTGACCTATTAAATATGTGAAATATTCTCGGCAACAAATTTTAATTAAACGAAGTAAAATGCTACTTATCATTCTTCTAATCCAATTATTGATATTATATGATGATTTGACTTGGTTTCGATTTGTATTCCAATTTATTTTTTGAAAAATTACCATAATATTTTTAGAAGCTCAAAGAAAATCTATCTTATTAAGACCATTTAGAAGCATAAGTGATACTGAATTCATCGATCCATTAAACTTTGAACAAACCGGAGAAGCACTGCAATCTGTTAGTTAGAGAAACAAGCGATCCGGAGTATGAGCAAATTTTCCGGATCTTTTTAATGTTGGTCAGTTTAACATAATATGTCATATCACTTTTCGGAAAATATAGACCTGTTAGCTGTCAAGAATATTTCACATCTTCAGAAGAATAACTCGCACATCTTGTATTTATTGATCATAAACATTTTTAACACAACCATTTTAAAGATTTCCGGTAGCATGTGTGCAATCTTTGATCCTTTTGACTACACATTTGAGAAAGTCCTTGCAGATCTTTAATCTCTTCAACCTTTAACCTTTAATCTTCGGTCGGTAATCTTTAATTTCCTGAACGGGGATATTTGAAGTCATTCAAATTCCGTCTAATGATCAAACTCCTAATTACGCTACCCCACACTCCCAATCTATTCGGTAAAAATAACCTTTCGGTTCATGCAACAAACCATGCAACGATTGTTCAATTATTTCTAAAATCACGAATTAGATCAGATTCATTTCGATCTATGCAACAAACCATGCAACGATTGTTCCATTATTTCTAAAATCACGAATTAGATCAGAATCATTTCATTTTATTCGCAATCAGTCATTACATCATTAACATTACGTCACCTGATTTTACATATCCATATATGAAGTACATAATTAATGAAATAACGTTATGTCATATAACATATTCATATCAAGTACTATCATATCATATCACATCATAATGACAAGTCAGAATCATTTTGTTTTATTCACAATCAATCATTACATCATTAATATTATGTTAACTGATTTTACACATTCATCCATACATAAAATATTACCACATCACATAATGTATTCATACCAAATACTAATTATATCATATATCAATAAGATGCTATAATATTAACGAAATACTACCATATTATTTTGTGCTTGATGGCTTCAAGAAGAAATTTTGTAAATTTACGCCACTTGTGGTGTGATTAAAGATCAAAATTTGACATTGTTTTCAAAAAAACTTACTAAGTTTTAATCGTTGTAAATATTTTCCAAAAATGAGAATGACCAAAATAAATTATTGAAGATGAAAGAATTATATTTTTTATAATAAATGGGATTCAAGTTGTATTTTTCAAGTAATACATTAACAAGTTAAGCTATAAAGTATAAGTTGTACAAGATTTTTTGATGGACGAATCTTTTTCCCCCATCTTAATTGTAGGTGAACTTACATTATAAAAATTAACAGTTGACCATTTATAGAATAATTGTAAAAAAAAAAGTAAAATCAGCTAATAATATTAACACTAGAGAATGCAATGGCAATGTTTGCATTTAACATTTTCAAAGTTGGGCTGCGTTAATTATTAACCTAGTTATTTCGGAGTTTTTTTTTGTTGAACTTCTAGGTGGGATGTTTCGGGGGTTTGCATAATTTGTATTTAATCTTATTGGGTGGTGTCGATTACCTCATAACAGAGGCAGCATAATAATATAAACTTATGCCAAAAGGATAGCTTTACCTATCTGGACTGTTCTTGACGGTCAATATTCGAATAAGATGGTACTCACCATGTAGTAGGTCTATCGTTGGTAGCTATAAAGTATCGCGAAAGTACCACGTTTTCTCCCTGGTGGTAGCTGTATTTGTTAACCATCGATATCTAATTGGGATTGCCTCATTAATGGAAAGATAAGTCTCGTTTCGAAGGTACTGTATGTTCTTCTTAGTGCCATATCTTCCTTTCTGTTCTTGAGGATGTCACTAACACCAAGAATTGCAGTTTTGATCGTCAGTAATATACATTTTAGATGTCCGATTCTGACTGTAGCAGTAACACCGATGGATCTGTAGACGATGGCAGTTTGAGTGACCTGGAAATGGATATGGAAAATAACGAGGGGCAGTATTTCTCTGATGCGGGTAATTCGTCAAAAAAAATTCTGTTTTGACCTACAGTCGGTATAATGATCCATACCATATACTCATATCAATGATAATGGAAAAGCAAACCCAAAAATCTTATTGTTATTGGCGATAGTTTAGATTGGTCATGTCACGTACGTGTGGCACGTTTAACTTCGTACCAATCTTATTAGAAAAAGGGAAAGAAAAGAGAAATGGAAAAGAAAGATTTTTTTCACTCTAGAAAATAAGGAAGTTAACTGTTTTAATTTGTTTCTCTGAAAGATAAGAGAGTTAACTGTTTCAATTTGTTTCTGGGGATAGGAAATGAAGTATGACCATGAGAATGGATATCATTTAGGAGGGGACTACTTAGAACAAATAGCTGTGGAGGAGACTGCAAACAAATAGCCGTGATTCCTATTTACCAAATATTATGAATAGTGGTTTGTATTCGTAACAACATAGAAATATCAATTGAAGTTTTGCAACAAATGATTGAACCATGGGTAAATACTTTTACTATGATTTCGCTTCTTGCCATAATTAATGTTGATTTCCAATGCTAATTAATACATGCACAAAAGAAATAACATTTCTATTTGCACAATGGCGAATAATTTTTTTTTAATTTTTTGAAATTAAAGAAGCGGCAATGGATATCGATGAAGAGGAGAATACATCACTATTTCAAAAGGAAATTTGGCAATTAAAACATTTACCTTATTATGAAGAAATGCAAAAAGAAGCTGACGACCATTTTAGGTATGATCTGATTTGATGCCATTCAAGTATAATCTGTTTGGTTAAAGTTTGGTAAGAGGGAGGTTGCATGAATATAGATAAATACGTAGGATCTTTGATATATGGGATTTGCATCGTTGGTTTATTTTAATTTGCCTTCGGTAGGCCAGAGATAGTTGGTAGGAAATGATGCAGTTCAAAGCGTAGGATTTCATTTTAGAGTTTAGCAAGCCGCATTTTTTTTCGTTTTTTAAGGATATCAAAGGTTTTTTTTCGTATACAAAAATTATTGCATCATGACTATTTACCATGTTGATCATACTCTGGTATTCTCAATCATTGGTTTGGGTGTTTCTTTTGCAGGCATATTAAGGTTGGTTTGGTTCATGCTGTAATGCTACGAGATATACGACCTGGTTTTGTTCATTGGATATGTGAGTTGGATAAGTGAGTTCTGCAGAGCCATTCTAGTTTTCATTCAAAATACGGAGTTTTTATTTTACTGTAAACACAGATCACCTGTTCATTCAGTACATTCCACGAGTAAACTTCAGTAGTACACGAAGCTTTGCCAATTTTACCATACTAACGTGCTGAATAAATATGAACACGACAGTGTTAGTTTTCAGGGGGAAGTTCACTGTCCTATAGCTTGATTTTCTCATCATTGCATTCCTGCTGAACTAAATAGGAGTAATGGATTAAAATTAATACTGTAGTTGAATTCAGGTATATCAATTTATATTCTCGCCGTTTCACAAAAGCAGATCATATCGCTCTGGTGAAGCTGTGCTATGCATGCATGACAATGAAGGGAGCTGATTTTCGAATAGTGAAAATCTGCGCTCAATCTGTCTCAAACCTTCTATTGTATGTTTTCCCAATTTTTACCTTGCGAAAACAATACATCTCAGAGAAAATGATTGGTTTCATGATGAAGAGCAATGTAGAATCGAATAATTTAACATTTTCTGAGCTGTTTTAGCTACATAACAATTTGAGAAGATACGTTAACCCTCAGCTTTCTTTTGATAGATGGCGAGATATTCGATGATCTTAGTACCATGCTGTGCAATCAATCTGTGTCGTATATTGATCTCTGGTTTTGCAAAGTCAAGAGAATGAGAAATTTTTTCGTAAATACATCTCTCTTTTACAAGTTAACAGCGTAAAAAATTTGCTACTGGATTTTAAGTCGGAAAGAGTTACTGTCACGAGGCGATATACAGCTTGAATGGAGACCATTGTATGATATCTACGTCGAAGTGAGCTTTAAAAGTTTGGAAGAAGATGGATTATTGCTGCTGCCCGATGGAATGAAAACGGCTCTTGAACAAGTTAGCTTCATAGTATTCGAAATTTTTTCAAAGTTTTCCTATATTCCGGTTTATCTTATTACTTGTGTAATTCTCCATTTGTTGTGTTTAAAATATCAAGGACCAAACACTAAGTCAAAAAATACAGCAAAAATCAAATTAACAGTCAAAATACAGTAAAAATCAAATGTGGTCTCATTTTCAGGTAATTATACATTGCAGAACCTACTTCAGCTTGAATTCCACACGGGAAATTCTAGATGAAGTAAGATCCTCTGATACTTAATTATGCATTTTACGATTCATATATTTATCCGAAATTTAACTAATAATCAGTTTACGATACAAATGTAGTATTCTGAAGAAGGATATAGTTTGAGATGGATGGTTGTATCAGCTAATTGACAGTTCGTTGTGTTGGGATGTAGTTTGGAGAACTAGAGTTAGAACATCTTTTTTTGTAGCTATAAGTAAAGCACAGCGTTCTTTCTATAGAAAAAGTGTTATAATTTTGATAGAATGAAAGTATTTTATCCTAGTGCATGACAATTTAATGCATGACAATTGTTTATCATTTCTTCCTTCTTCCTAGGTTATTTATACTGCTGCATTTAATAGTTCTCCATACTCTGTTTTATGCATCATGAGGTAACTGAATCAGATTCTTTTTAATTTCTAGGAAAGAACTTTTATAATGAAACATTAAATGTCATCCTTTACCACTACCTGTAAATTCCATTTTAGCTTATCTAGGCTATTTTTATTTCTAAGGTACGACCCTACATATGCCCGTGGGACGAGAGCATGTCACGAGCAGTATGTTTATTAAATTTGTTTCTGCCAACTAGTATGGAGCAAGAAATGCATAGGAAATACGGTGCCACTTTATGGTTCGATGAAATGTGGCATTGGTTCACAACACTTGAAACAAATTCGTCTTACGAAACCAAGATAGAAGGACTCTTAGCCCGGTGTGATAATGATTAATTTAATATATTCATTTAAAAATATAATTTTTGACAATGATTTTTCAAGCAAAAATATCCATTTAGCTTGTTTAACGTGGACTTCGAAACAAATGTCATTATGAGTTTTACTTTAGTATTAGTGCTATACATACCTGACATTGGTGGTACACTTCCAGTGAGGGAATGTTGCACAAAATGTCCAAATAACCGATGCAGTTATAATCAGTACAGAAGTCTGTTTAAAAAAAAGAAAAAAAAAGAAAAACTGGGAACACAACTTACGAAGCCGTGTTGGAAAAGAGTTAGTGATGAGAATCATGAGCATAATTTATGAAAGAAAAATAACTGCAGTAATTTATGCGACATATTTAAGCTTAGCACGTGAATGTCCTGGTTTGATCGACTGGCATGACAAATACGACATAATAATGACGCGAGTATTACGAGCACTAAATTTGGAAATAGGACAAGGTACTGAACGAGTCAACATTTCTTCGACTACTTCATTTCATCTTGACCATGCTGCTATCTGGTTAGCTTATATGCTTGGCGGATCAAATAATGGGTTAGTTTTCCTTGTTCTCAAGATTACTCATAAGTTTAACCTATTACTCATAAGTTTAACCTAAACTGGTAATGAAGTTACTATAGCCTTTGTTTTTTACGTTTTCGTTTGTTCGCATTTTCTAGATATATAAAAGATTTTGTTTCTTCTTCAACTCAAAGTTTATTACTTTATTATTCGCATAAAATTTATCATGACGACCATTTTGTTATTTTAGGATCCAAAATCACCTCACCCGTCTTTTCCGTTCTTTGGAATCTTACTTTCATCCTTCGAATTACGGTCATCATTCCATTACAATACTTCATTTTTTGTTGAGACTGGTGAATTCTGTTTGCAGTAGATTGCACAAGGAGCGGCACCAGAAGCCTAGCTGCCATCCACAGGTTTTTTACTTCATTCGCAAGATAAAAGACTATTTTGAACATATTTTCCTTTGATCATGTGTTTTTCAGGTTTTTCGAAGTAATTACTTGCCTTATTTGCTAGTCAGTGCGTTACGAGCTGAATAAATGTTTAGTCCCTTGGTAGGGTTTTGCTCAATGACTTGAAGTCTATTCACATCAGATCTAGTACTTTAGTTAAACTTGTTTCGCTAATGTGATATTCGATTTATCACCTTAATATATGGAAAGTTTTATCTTACCGTTTCTCTTGAGTAGTATCGACCTTTGTGAAATCTTACGTTAATTTAAGCTGCTATATCAGTCATGTGTATTGATTATAATCATGTTATAATATTCAGCATCAGATATGTTGTAGTTTCCTTTGATATTTTATTTAGGTTCCAACAAGTCTTCGTTTGACTAACGCACAGTTGGATGAGTTTGTGGAATCTGTATTACCGTGTGCTAAGCTTGCGCTATTTGCAAAGTATAAAATGGAGTATGCACCAGCTATAATTCGTAATCTATCGCAAATTGCACCGCGAATCGTTGTACCAGCGGTTCTTGATTTGTAAGTATTTTATTGGGGATGAAAACCAACTATTTTTGTTCATTCAAGTCCCTTCATATTTTTAACTGTATAGTAATCTGGCGTATTCTTAATCTCATGTGTAACAGTGATTGCAAAAAATGTGACCGTTATTCAATGGGTATTCTGAATAACGCATTTTCTATGATATTGCTGCTCTTGTTGAACGTGACGCTTGGTTTGAAAGGTCTTTTTCTTGATTAAATAAGATTTTGACTGGAAGCATTCCTGTACTTTCCACTTCTTTTTTCTGGCAAATAATGAAACATTTCTATGATTTTATTTTGTAGGGTATATCCTGCATTAGAGACAGTAGTCGAGCCTCATCGTTTAGTGCAGTCAATGAACGCGCTAATAGCAGTTTGCGTTGCACTGGTTCGTGATGATTCCAATTTGGGCAATCGCAAACGTGCTCCGCTACATACAATGGAAGAGCTTTCCGATAAACCATATCGCAGTCATGCCATTGCGCTTCTTAACTCAGTTCTACCTGGATTGGATGCCAATGATATCTCAAAAATGCTGCTTACATTTCAAGTTTGTTCATTTCTTGATATGTGCAATAGTTGAATAATTTCGACTCAAATGAACATGTGTATTGGTGGTAAACAACTTAAAAGTGAAAATTCTTATGAAGTTATACAAGGAAAACTATCCAATAAATCGATCAAGGAATCGGGTAGGCGGCATCCAGATTCATTCTGAAGAGATTGATATATCTATCCACTGCAGTGTCGAGATCTCAAAGCCGAGCAATTTGATTTATGCTAAATGATCCAGTAATCATTACATGGGAGTGCTGTTTTGCGTTTGGCGAGAACAATTCTTCAATAAACAATTTTTCATTACAAACTTTGCTTCTTCTGAATGTTATTCATTTTTGTTTTAGATTATAAATTTGCTAATAACATTGGTACCCATTGTTGATTGTTCGGAGGCTATCCATGTACGAAATGATTTAACAGAAGAAGAGCAGGAAGTTTGTTCGGCAACAGCAAATTTCGAAACAATCGTAGAAAACCTTCTGGACAAGTAAGTTAAATTTTATATTTCTTTTTTTTTCTAATAATCTTCCAATGTCTGACATCTTCACATGCCTTTTCACTATATCCGTGTTGTTTATAGAATGATAGAGATAATTCATGTTTTTACGGGAGGTGCGCCAACAGTAACAACGGTACAGGGTTCGCTGGGTGCTAAATCACAATCCAAATTATCGGTGGAAGAAACGGTGATAAAACGAGGCATATTTTCCGTATTCCGTGCTCTCCTTGGTAACTGCAGCACACCAATATATAAAGTTAGTATTTGATAGGAATTCTAAATGGATATGTACTAAATATTTGACATTCGTAGTTCAGCTGGGAACTTAAGATCCTGCAACTTTAGCTATCAGCGATATTAACACTTAACCTATTTGCAACATTCTTCAAGAATCGTTTTCCTTGTTAACATTACGTATGCTGTTTATATTATGAGATCATAAAATGACAATTTATTATCCTTGGAATTCCAGTTACATCATCGAATCAAGTGAACCAACTTTTCTCTTACAAACAACATGTTATATTTTGTAGATTGCTGTTAACAAGTTATATGATTTCATTTCAACAAATATGTATGATAGTCGATTAGCTGCGGATACCGTTTCAGAAATGATTTTTTGCGCCGTTCGGGTAATTATTGCATATTTTTTACAACAGAACTTGAACTTGAAAATGGATTTTCTTGAAATGGATTTTCTTTAATTAAGTTTGGGATATCAATGTGAATTCTTAATTTCGTTAGTAAAATGCAACTCTCAAAATCTAATATATTTTCCACTTAGTGGTTGAAATGAGAGACTTGTCGAGAATTCTCACTCTTTTAGTGTCAACTAGCATTAATATACATGTAGTTAATTTTTTTTTTTTACATAAAGTGTCTTGCACCCAGCATCATTAAATCACGAATTCTTCAGACAAATCCACCGGAATCCCTGGATCTATTCTTGGACCTTATTACAGAGAAATTGGTTCCGCTAACAACAGGTATATATTATACTGGTTTTATCCGTGGAATCAATTAAAGATTTTTTTTCGGTTTCTTTTTGAAAACAGGATATCACGAAAGCTAAGGCAGAGATTCCCTCCATTTTTTACTGATATGAAGAGTGTGACGATTTAATATTTTGCACTTCACGACCTCTGTATTAATTCTATTGAAAAAAAACGACAAAGAAATCTGGCGAACATCTTAAATGGATAAAGTGAACTATTTGATCTCATATTATCAGTATTTAGGGTGGATTAATCTTGTATTGATTTCGTCCATATTATAATTTACTGAGGAGAATCTAGTTGGATCATAAAGTAAACTGAGGAGCTAATGGGATTTTATAAGCGGACGTATATGGACTTTTATTCACTTATTTTTCAAACTTTTTCTGCACCGATGGAATTAGGTAGATTTTCTTATACTAAACTACAACTGTTTGTTTCCAGAAGAAGCATATGAAGAAGAAGAATTGGACTCTACGATGGTATGGTATATTGTTTTGGCCTCACAGCTCTTTAGGGTATCGGGAATGCATATTGTATCACACAAAACGAAAATGTTGAGGCTGTTACGAATGATTGTACCTTTGACATGTCGTACGGCATGTGAGGTGATTTCGTTTTTTCCTTTCATACCTTATTTTCTAGAAAAACGGTGATAAAAAAAATAGGTTCTCTGGAATTCTGAATGTTTTGTTTTCTGAATCGTCCTAGTACTCTACAGTATTCAGAAAACATTGTTAGAAGGAATTCAAGTAAAATTGTAGCTAAAAAAACATAATATAGAAGGAGCTACGCTTTAACTGGACTAGTAGTAAAAGGACTCTTCGTGGGGTTTAGTCAATCAAACGGAAATTAAAATTTTTACTCTTTAAAACATTCATTATGTATTTTGGTACATGAGGAAGTGAAGCGCAGTGATTATGTACATTATTTAAACCTTTGAAAATGAACAAAATTTCGAAAGCTTGTGTTATAGCTTTCGTGCAGTTCACTGGAATGCATGTTAACGGGTTTAACAAGTATATATACTGATACCAGCGAGCAGAGACGTGAGAAGCTCGACCAGCCTTTCGAAAAATATCTTCCGATAAGAGTTCGTTTTACTGTTTTTTTTATGACTCAGCTTGTTTCATCAATTAAAAATTTTATTTTTTGCTTTTTTTTTTGGAGGTTTTGCAATATTTGCAGGTCTCATCTTAAAAGATTTTAGGAGTGGGCGTAAGAATTGAGCTTGGATTTTAGATGATCACTCGTTTAATGAAAAAATAAATATCCAATCGCGTTTGGTTCAAGGTTTGTATAAAGATGTTTATTTTTCTAGGACTGGGCAAAAGTAGCGGACAAAAAAACTTTCCAACTCAAATGGCATATACCAACCGAAGAAGAGTTTCAGCTGGCATACGATGTGTTGGACGAATTTTTCTATCCAGAGCTTGAAAAATTATCGAATGCAGATTCTCTTTCCAAGTTGCTCTTCCTCTAAATTTATTTATCTACTCTTTTTTTAAATAGTATATTGATTCACTTTCCTTTTATCTGTGTATACCTTATTTTGAGATAAAAAGAATCTTGAAAGAATGGATATGTTGATTTAGTATGGGAATACTGTATGAAAAGATCCGAACTAATCTAAATTTTGTATCTTTTCTACTTTATATTCTCCTAAATTTGTACACAAATTTTAGGACAGAAATGCTGAAATCTTTGGAAATAGTCGGTAGTTGCTTGGCTGGTATATCAGCTGCATTACCATCCTTTGGTGGAAAACTGATACCACTGACGGATTCGCCAGTGAAGGTCTATCCTTTTCAATTTGTCGCTGCTCCAAGCTATGTAAAAGGTATCTGTATTTCGCGCTATTTCAAAAAACACGAAGCTTGATGTTATGGTTTTAAAACTATAACTCTTGGCGTTGTGTTTTGCTGGTAAATATTCAATAGTCATTGCTCGTCGTTATGATTTACAAAAATGATTTTGTTGAATTTACAGAAATGACGTACAGGGGATCAAATATACGAAATTTTGTACTGAATCGAATAAAAAGTGTTGCGGAATATTTGGTGCAAAACCGAGAAAATGATACGAAATCCTTGTCTGCTGTATGCAAAATTTTGCATATTCTCGTTTTTCAGCGTGGTATTGATCGAGTTAGTTTATCTTATTTGTTTGTTTTTTTCTATTATTGAATTGATGACGATCATAATAATTAGAAAATACTTGGAAGAAGAAATCTGAAATACGTTTCGCTATTTTGAAAATGCGAACGATTCCTTTTTTTCCTTTTTTACTAAGGTACTTGAAAGTAGCATTTTCCTCTTTAAAATAAAGTCAATGGTTATTGATATAATTGTTCGAGGCTTCTGCAAATCGTTTGAGCACTGATTTGTTCGAACTAATTCAAATGCTGCTGTAAATTTTTTCACTGATTCATCAAGATCTCGATGATTGTCGCTTTAATGGATCTTTAAAAGCTTTCGCTTGTCTTAATCAGTATTACTGGTTCTCAACAACAATGCTAAAAGGTAATACATTTCAGGCGAAATTTGATTTACAAAACCAAAATTATATATTATCGAAAAGAATTGTTGGAGATATGGTACAAGGAAACAAAGCAAACATAGACCTGGTTACTACCGAATATCTAATGCTACAGCATCATGTTAGCATTAGAAATTATGAATTATTATCTTCTTAACTTCAACCATACTTTATATTATAAAATGGCATCAAAGATTCTGATTAAATTTTGGACTCCAGTGGAAGGGTTACTGCTAAAAATTTTGGATACAACATACAGTGATTCTTAATGAAATTAGAAAAGTGGTTTAGAATTTCTTTTTGTCTTAAATTATTTCTGTTCATGTTCATCTCCCTCTCCTACAGGTGTTTCTATTATGATCTAATAAAAACTATTTAGTCGCTGTTTAGGGAGGAATGGTATAGAAAGTCACCCTCACTACATTTTTCATGTATTTTTTTGAAATTTTTGGTAATAAAAAAATTAAATTCTAGAAGCGAACACTGACGCGCTCCGGATATTATTTTACTGCGCAGCACACGGAAGTGATGAAATTATTGGTGCGATTGGGTACAAGTCTATACAGTGCTGTATGTTTTCGCCCTTTCTATGAATTTATAGTTAAAATAATATTGAATGATATTAATAAGATACGGGAACTAATATGATTTCATATATTTTTTGGGTAGATGTGAATGTTCACATTTGGAGGAGTGAATTTTAAAAAAAAAAAAGGATTATAATTTACTGATGTAAATTGGAATGGTGTTTTAGACTCGAATTGATGCCCAGAGGATATTAGATGGCTGCATTCAAACATTTCCTTATTCATATCTACTTGTATTAGATGATATACTCGCGTTTCTCAAGGAATCACCTGATATATCTCATGAACAATTCAAAGTAACAATTATTTTTTAAATAAGTTGAGAAAATTGTATATTCTATATAGCCATATATCTGGTGTGAAGTTGTTCACTATTGGAAACATGCTGTAGTGAATAATCTAAAGTTTGTTTTTTTTTTGGAGAACGTCAAATGAGTTCAAGTGAGCATTTCATTTGCAATTAAATTGCCGTGAAATGGGATTTGGAATGTTCTCCATCTTTTTTTTTACAGGGTGCATTATATATGCTTCTAAACGGTAAGAGATTGGCCATTTGTGTCAGACAAAATTGGAGTACATTATTGCGAGTATGGCCAGCACTTATTGAAGCACAACATTCCGAAAAGCCTTCCATAATTGGTCTGTTGGAATTGGCGCAAAACACTCTTGTCGACAATTTCGAATCATTCCAGATCAATTTTTTGGTAATTTATTATTTTTATTTAAATTTGGAGTTTCTTTAAATGTACTACTACTTAGAAACCTAAAAGAAACTCCTACTTAGAAATAATAAAGATTAGTATAGACCGTCAAACACTAATTAGGAGAGGTGGATCATGCTTTTTCGGAAATAAATTTTCTTCCATAATACTGAGCAAGCAAAAAATAATATGCCACTTGATTTTTCCTTCTTTTGCAAAGTGCATAATTGTTCAGTTTACTCACTCCTGCCTTATAAATGATTGAGTACAGTGACATATGAATATCATTTAGATAAAAATACTGAATTCAGTCGTTAGATTATCTTACAGTTAGACTTGTGCCTTACTTTTTATTTATTGTTGTGGATTTATTACAGCTGCCAGATGGACCAGTTGCTGCTGCGCGAGAATTGTACGCTGCAGGCGGTGGTGAAAATATACATCAACCGGCATGGCCACTACCTACTGATGAAGAAATCGAAACTGCTATTGAAAGGGAGAATATTGCGTGCGAGGAAAAAGAAAAGTAACTTCACCGTGGGTTATTAATAAGGACAATAACATAATAACGCTTAGCTATAGAAATGATGCATAGAAGTGTTTATGGTATATAGAGATAATAGGGATAAGGGAAACATCGAGATTTTTGGAAATGCTTTGTGAGTTAGTATGTTTTTAGAAGATGATCAGGCAAACTGTTGCTGATTGATATCGCTACGTACTAAGCTAAAACGAGGTGATTCAAACTACTTACATGGTGAGCAAATAGAGTAGATAAAGTCGTTTAATCTTGCACATCTTTCAGAGTCTAAACTGATAAGACGTACATGTATCTGTTGGCAGCTTTTATTGTGACGAAATGAACTGAGTGAAGTGTCACTGACACCGTACTCCATAATCAGTTCACTTTTTTTCATTTTTCTGTATTTTTTTTTTTTTTTTTTTTTTTTTTGCAGATTATATTATTCGCTTTGTGATCGTTTAATTGCCCTCAGTACGGATGCAAATCTTCATTGGCGACATGTTGACATGGCACAATCTTTACTTTCGTTACTCATTAGACGAGATATGCCTTTCCCATCAGATGCTGTTAAGTAAGTTTCCAGAATGACTGAAATATTAGTTAGTCACCTGAGCTAATTTTAGCATATTTTGATAAATGATTTTATATATTGGATCGTTTTATAATGCATTGTAGTTTTTGCTTTTTTGAAATTATTCTCATGCTTTCGAAGATATTATTTTTATGGGTGGGACATGCTACTGCGATGTATATATGCAAGAGATATTTTTATTAATATCAAATTATCTCTAAAGAAAGTGGTTTGACAAATTTAATTGTCAGCTATTCTTAGGTGAAACAATTCAATAAAATGTCTTTTTTTATTTGGACTGTCTAAATATGATAGCAATATAGTGTAAGCATTGTCTCTATTTGTAGATTGTTTATTCGGTTACTTGTGAACGACACTGTTAAAACGAGACGCATGGCAACTGGACTGATAGCTGCATGGTTACGTATTACGAAACCGCAAGCTGTAAAAATACCTTTCGAAAATCCAGTTAAAGTAATTGTTATATTATTTAATAGAATAAAAGAATTCTCTTGTATTCTTGTTATAATTTTTCTACGACAAATGAGATAATATTGAAATGCCGTCTTCTGTTACACGGGAACATCGCGCTGGAAATATGGTTACTCCTCGTATCAGCCCATTTTGGCTTGATCATGATGCTTATTATTTTAGAAAAGTAAAAAAGCATTGCAAACTCACTGCAGATGAACTAATATAATTTTCATTTACAAGATTTATTTGATATTGCTGCAATCAACTTTTTTTTTGCGTTTACAGGAAGAAAATATTGGTCCTGGTGCAGAATGGCCCATAAAATATGGCTTTCGAATGGACAACATAATAACGATGTATAACAGGGAAAAACTACCACAGACAGCGAAGGAGTGGAATGCTACAGTGTTTTTCAGCAAAACTCATTGGGGCTTCTATACTTGGCCAAAGTGAGTTTTACTGTTGATCTTTTCTAAAAGTTTCAGTTGGCAATCTTTAACTATCGGAGTGTTTAATGGATGGTTAAAGACAGTAATATACATATCATGGAGAATCTGTTATTCCTTACAAACGAGTCATAGATTATTTTATTTCTCTGTGATTATCGCTCACCATCACTCAGTAATGTTCTTTAAACCAATACTGGTCCCGAAATTCTAGAGACTGTTTTTCATTCAATTGGAATAGCAACTGCTGTCTGTGATTTCGTTAATATTGCTTCAAAATATTACTTTATTCGGGGATATGAACAATTAAACCAACTGTTTTCATTTAATCAACTGATTTCATTTTTTACGAATTCTCATTCGTAATTTGTATTATCTGAAGGGTTTTGAAAGTTTATGCGCCAGCAAATGAACAAAAAGCGATTAATCGTAAACTGGATGAATTAAATGAAACTGAACGTTTCGTTGTGGAAACATTCTCTGATGATGAGTTTGCGGAAAAATTTCGCCAATATATGAGCGTTGAAGAAAAGAAGGGTGAAGAAGCATTCGATGCCATTGCGTTCGGTTTATTTTACGTCAGTTTTATTGTTTCTTGTTTTATCAATAAAAGTTGTTAATGTTAATGGAGTTAATGTAATTGTTAGTAAACCACAGGGCATTATAATTAACGAGTCAGTTATACGGAGGCTTCTGATAGTGACATGAAACCTAAGACCTAAGAACCATATGTATCGGCATATATAGTATGAAGTTATTGAACTATTTAGGATCATTCAGTGATCAATTGCCAACTGGGTGATATTCAGATGACTCTAAAATGACTGTCATTCCTCTCCATTTATTATGAAAACCTACTAATCGTACTCAGCAATTTTTATTGCCGTTTAGGACCAGAGCATTACGAGTGAAATTAAAAAACGATACATATTCTTAATCGTTTTGAGTGAAAGAAGACTTTTCAGGGTATATTTCGGAATTACAACGACCTTCCACTTCCAGTTTTTAAGAAACATTTGGAAATTTTGCTTGCAAGTGATAAGGTTATGTATTTTACCTTCCTTGTTTTTCATATTCCAATTTGATTGGTAGGATTGAGATTTTTTCGTGTCAAATTTACGCAACTTATGTATGCATATTCATAATATTTTTCTTTTTCATTCGGGTAAGAGTGTAGAGAGGAAATTTGAACGTCATTTTTCCTAATTTCATAGACAAGTTTTAGGAAGGCGAACAGCGATTAGCATCGGAAATGGTTGCTGGACTGCTGAATGGCAGTAAGCTTTGGACATTCGAAAAGATTTCAGAAATGTCGAATTGGCTTAAACCTTTAATAAGCAGTTGCTTGGAAACAGTAAAAACTGAGAATGTCAAGAATTGGGGAACAGCTATTGCAACAGTTTTCGGTTCAGTTGACCCGAAAGCGCTTTCATGGTTTATTGAAATGCTTTTTGAACTGTGCATGAAGCCAACGGACAGCAGCTTTCATGCAACTACGTATGAACTTTACCCACGAATAGTATTTATATGATTTCTTATTAATTGGATTAAAATGAATTTTTTGCCCAGTTCAGTCTGTAAGAGAAGTTAATTGATATGCATAATTTTTCAGTTGAAAAATTTCATTAACAGGTGTCTGCAATTCCCTTCGATCAAACTGAAAGGATATTTCTAGTTTTTCATTTTGGAAAAAATTGAGCTAAAGAGTTACAGAAAAAATCCTTTTGCTAGTTGATGCATCTGAATAGGATTGAATGTATGAAGTACACGTGCCTATACTGTTATTGAAATCACCGTGCGGAAAATAAAGCTAGAGAATAAATATTTAAGGTCACACTGAAATGAACAGTTGAATTTTCAGTGACGAGATAAACTTTAGTTACTCGATCTGACGTCGATTCCAGGACCGCGTACCTGACGTGATCAAATGAAATGAAAAACTATTAAATTCTTTTGTTAAATTCATATACAGACTGTCCTACTTCTTGTAATAGTTTACATATAAAACGGATAAACAGTCTTCATTCTACTTTTTTTTAACAAGAAAATTTTAGCTTAATTTTGTTTTTTCATATAATCCAATACATCTTTACGGTATCATATTTCAACTATACGATTTGTCAAGAAATTATTTCCTTTCCAGGCGAATGTATTTTGTGCAGGGTGCTTTAAATCAATGTGAATGGCGCGTAACAGAATTGTGGAATCAGTTGTTTCAAAAATGTTTGGACACTATGGAAGAATCATATCAGAATTTACGTGAGCGTATTGGTTCGAGTATCGCTACTATTTTATGGTTCGATCTGACTCATTTATACATTGATCCACGAATCCCGAAGAAATTTCATCCAATGAAAATTGATGATGCAATGGGCAAAATTAATACAAAAGTATATTTTACTTACTTTTGCTAGCATATAAGTTACTACTAAGCGCTTTGTCGTCAAACTTTTTATTGGACACTACATTAAGATTTAATTTCGAAATGCTTTGAGCGGATGCATGGCGAAGTAGAATTAACGTTAACGGATATTGCGTGGATGCTTAGATTGAGGAGGAGGAGGAAGGAATTACCGATATTTAAATTTGTAGGCTTCTATTTTTGTAAAGATGAAAACAGCGTTTTGGTGAACATTCTAGACGGTAGTGCGGTTGTAAATATATATGTCAAAGATGAGAGCGGAAGTTTAAAGTATATTGCTGCTACATATCTTCACAGACGCAATCGCGAACGTTTAGTTTATTTCTCGAAGTGTACACTTCATTAGATAAAATACCTCATTATAAATACCTCATTAAATGCAAATCATTATGAAATTGAATTGGAGAGCCGCTACAGATACTGATTAAGCTATTGTTTCTGTTTCATCCTCCTTATTGCAGTTAGAACTTTTATGGTCTGAAGTCGCCATTGCGAAACAAGATGGTGACAAAATGGATGATGTTTGCTTGGATAGCAAAATAGAAATCATTAATGGTGAAGGCAACGGTCGGAAAAAAGTGTGCCAATTTTCTTTTTTATAAAAAATGTTAAACTTTTCTTATTTAAACAAACAGAAGTAATGCATTTTTTCTTCAAGGAATGGCTTTTCAGTGCCTATTAGAAAGAAAATAATTTACTTAATTAGCTCTCACTTTCAGGCAATCATGACATTTAAGTGTGCGTTAAATTATTTAAATGCACATTGGGTGCACTCGTTCACTGCCCTACCACCTGCTATTTTTAATGTTTTGCCCTTGCTTATACATTTTGAAAATGAAACAAGGTATTTCATTTATTTGCTAGGAAACTATTTGTTCCTTATTGATAGCATCAAACTTGGGTATTTCCGATAATTTTATTTAAGTCGAAAAAGCATCCGTAATTTCCATAACTCTCACTTTTAGCGTCATAAACCACCGGTTGCTCCAATAATAGTCCTACTATGCTAATAAGCAAATTAGGCGTTCAACTGCTGATAGTCGAATTATAAAGAATGCTGTTCATGATCCGGACATTTTCGTTACTCCAAAATTCGTTTCAGTGACGAGGAACTGAAAAATAGTTGCCATGACCAGCTGCGCCAAGGGATGTCACAAACGCTGATTATAGCAAAGAATGCAGAAATGGTTTTGTGCGGTATTAAAGAGGTCAGTTTCATCATGTTCTGGTAATTGTAGGTTACTAATCCTGACAACCAATCTCATATTTCAAAAGGAATTAAGATTATCAGACTGCTTTTTATTTTATTTTTACCATTTATACTATGGAATAAAGCAAATTACTACTCGATATTTTGCAGATGAGTTATCCTCTGATAGTGTATCATTTGCAATATCAGTGTCCTAATGTTATTTTCTAACTACTACTTGAGATACATTAGTCCATAGCGTGGAAGTGATACCGATTTCTTGATAATTTTAATAACGTATATATTGATAGCTGATTAATCCCTGTTGAATTATACTTTTCCGATTGCAGTTAGCTTCATCCGCTGTTTCATGGTGGAAGCCGAAGGTTTCGCTACTGAAGTACATGCAAGTTGCTGTATTCTCCAATTTTTTTCTTTTCCTGCATCATCGCCCACTACTGCAAGCTATACTCTGCTCTATGATACTTGATCCCAAGTTTGAAGTGCGTGAAGCTGCTGCTACAACATTGTCCGGTCTTATCCATTGTCACTTCTTCGATGTGGACCATCTGATTATTGTAAGTTATTTGTTTGTGTGTGTTCATTTCATCTTTCTGAGTATTAAATTCTAATTGAATAGAATCTACAAGATGAAAGCGCTGATTGTTTTGGGTAGCAGCGATCATCCAATGAACAAAAATAATTTTTAGACATTGTGTACTTATGATTTAAGTAAAATTAAGTTTTCAGGAGACATTTTATGAATGGTCTCGGGAGGAAAATGGTACAAAACGACATGCCGGCGTCTTAGCCCTTTCTGCTGTTGTTCAGGCATTTCCGTACAGTGTTCCACCCTTTTTACCGAAAATTCTGATGCAACTTTGCCGTCACACTTGCGACAAACAACCTATGCAAGTAAGCTTTTTTGTTTTTTACAAATCTCAAGAAATATAGCAATCCTGATTCTTCAAACCGAGTTACTAATGGTTATTAGCAATTGTACTTGAAGAAGTCTTCCACCGTATGTATGTAAAATGCCGGTGCAATGTTTGTTGATAATACTAGCTATTTTAATAATTTTGCAGCTGCCCCTGAAAGAATTACTTAAATTTACTCTTGCATCTGCATCGAAGGCCACATAATTACTTGTTTTAATTTGTGTATTTTCATCTAGTTCGGAGTAATCTACTCTAATCTGTTTTATATATTTTTAGTCATAATAGAATAAACAAGGTGCGGTAATTTTCAAACACAGTGGCTCATACTCCATGTGGTAATCATCTCGATAACTGAAGAAAGATTATTAAGAATATTTTCAGGGTACAGTGAAAAAAGCATTGAGCGAATTCAAGCGTACTCATCAAGATAGTTGGCATGAACATAAGATGCAGTTCAGTGAAGATCAGCTTTCCATCTTGACGGATCTGTTTGTTTCACCCAATTATTACGTCTGAGCTCACTGAGTGAAACTCGTGTCAGAATTTCATCTTCCAAAAAATGTTTAGAAGTGTGGGTTGTGTTTGGAACTTTGAAATTTTAGATGAAATTGCTCAAAGTTGAGGGATGTTGGTTTCGCTTTTTGATTTTCTGTCAAAATTTTGTTTTCTTTCACTATCACTGGATAAGCTTTAATATAAAACTATTCCAACAATCAGTTCGAAACGCATCAGTTCAAAGCTCATTCATATTACAGTTAGGATTTTACATTCTTTTGCTTAGGTGTCTAGTATTATTGAACCGGCTACATTTCTCTTTCTCTTTCTCCAATCTGGATGATGGAGACATACTTTTGCTACTGTTGAGCTAAGTTTAACTTCTAATCTTAGAAAAAGTTGGAGTGTTAGAGATTGGTTTATTGCGCCACCCACTGTTAGGAAACTTTAAGATCCATTTTTGAATGTTGCTATTACCAACTTGACGAGTTAATCAGTCCATAGTATCAGCAGACAATGATGGCGTACAGATGCGTGTGAATTCGTGTTGACATGTTTATATCAGTATGGATCATTTCGGTATCGATATGCTACTTATATCAATATGGATTAAGTTTTATTAAAATCATGACGAAAGATTGTGCCTGTTATTCAATTATGTAGAGTTAGGATTGTGGGAGCCGGATTTCAAATTTTATGTTAAATAAATGATACGTGTAATTTGTTTTTTCGTTTATGAAACTGTGATGATATTGCGATGTGTTCAGTGGATTTTTCTTCATAATTTTCCATCTTTATACTTCTTTCTCATTTCTGGGATTATATGTTGCGCAAAGTAAATCTCATTTTCGTATTATTATCACTGTAGCCTTCTTTTTTTTCTGTCATGCTAAACATTGTTATGAAAAATTCCACAGTTCATTGGATAAACAATTATGGTATTCCTGATATCCGACTTTTTTTTTTTCTTGGAAAAAATAACATAGATGACAGCAATTCGAATGTTATGGTTCCATTTCTTTATTCCTTTAGAGATTCTTTTATCACTTGAAATTTCATCCGATCCATAATTTCATTACATATGATTTATTGACTGCATAGTATTTCATATGAACGCGACGAAAACCGCAATTTTACTTGATGAATGCAACATTGCAAAACGCGAAAATATCATATGATTTGAGTTATTAAAAGAAAAACCCCTTAATCCATTACTCAACGTTCGTTCTTATACGAAAGAAGAATACAAAGTTTAATTAACTCTTTGAAAGAATAATTAAATCACTTTGATTATTTTTACTTATCAAATATTCTATTTGCCTTATCATTTATTAAATGATATGTCAATGTTTGATTTCATTTGTTCCTGTGATCTTTTTCTTGTTTATCCAAAATTGCATTTAGTAAAGATGAAATTGGCAATTTTGAAAAAATCTTACAGTATTTTGGAAGGGATTTTACCTTCCTCAAAAGAATTACTTCGTTTAATTTCAAATTACAATTTGAGGCATTGTTTTTAGAACTTAATGAAATTAAAAGTATAGCATAGATGGAATTAATCCAATCTATACTAATTCTAAAGGAGAATGAACAACAAACAATTAACAATTGGATGTCAAAAGTTGCCATCTATTTTAGCGATGCCATTTATCCAGTGATTTCTCATTGATCTAGTTGATTGGATGATATCATAAGTTCAACAATGATTTCGGAAAATTTCCTGTAACATCTACTATTGTAACACAAAGTATGTAAATATATAGTATTGTGGAAGTATGATAATGTTCCATTCTAATGATTTTTAATTCAGCTCATCATAATTTACATCATTTCCAGAGGATAATCTATTCTTTCAAGTTTTTTGAGTTATCACTGATATATGGTCTATCGACCACTTCGAGATTATTCTATTTTTGAGACCATGGTGGGTTTGAAGGGGCTTGCTCCTCACCTACCGCGGGTTGACCCGGTATTGCACCTACCTCCGGGAACGGCCCATTCATCCCTATGATAAGGTGTTGCATACTGTTAATAATTGAGATGTGGTAGTTGTTGTTGAGCTATTTGAAGTTGCTTGAAAAAAGTTATTAGCAGAGACGCTAACTGACGTATTCAGATTACACGTATTCAGATCAGTTGTCACTGATGATTTCAGTTTTGTTAATTTAGGCAATTTTTGGAACTTTTCAATCTTCCGAATTTCTCTCAAATTTTGATAATCAAATAGAGTTTCCCATTTGTGACTGCTATGAATCCTTCTTTTATTTCGAATTTCTTTCAAATTAATATTATGCATTATATGCTATACAATGGATATTAATTTTTTGTTTAGGTTATTTTTCATAATATGATGTGAAATCCCTCATCTTATCCTCAAGAAAATGATAGTATAATGATGGAAATTCAAAATATTGTTCGAGCTTGGTTAGCATTTACCGTATTACAGCTTATTGGTAATCTTCGGCAATGCATACAACCGAAAATTTTCCTAGAAGTCTTACTACGCCGTAAAACTACTACTGTAACAGGTTAGTTATCAAGCATAACACTTGATATGTGTATACAGTACGATTGTATAGATTACTACAAATAAAAACAAAACTTCACTGAATACTATATTTAAATGATGTATGTTTCATTTTTTTTTGATTTATCATACATGCTATCAATGGGTGTTTGGATAAACTAAAGATATTTTCAGACGTAGCATCTATCGCAGCATCATTTTTCGTTCATTACTGGATAATACTACTTTTACGTCTCTTCGTCATTTATTATTTCGATTGTGTTCCACTTCATATATTTCATATAATCTGTTCGATAACATCAGCTGTTTTTCTTTGTTTCGAAATTTTTAACACTGAATTATTGGAAAAATCAATTGCTCTATATATACAAATTGCTTTATCTGGTTAGTCTACTGAAATTTGGATTCTGTAGGCTTTTGATTACATTAAAGAGAATTAAAGCAATTCGAATGCCATGGAATATATATTAATATGCGCAACATGTCACAATATCAGTGTGAAAGTTCCCTAATTCCCGTCTGAAATAAAAACGGAAGAAATTAAAAACAAAAGAAATAACCTTCTTCGAATAATTTGCGCTTTTTTTCTCGGTAAATCGTAATGATAATTTGAAACTGTAAACCTATCAGATTTTCGGCTTTTTTCCATCAGTCATTCATATCATTGTGTTTTTAAGGTTGCACGGTATTAGTCATCATATCTAGCTGGAAGTATTTATTCGCGATTACCGGAAAGCAAGAAAAAAAACGAAAGAAATTGACCGCTGTACATATGATGGAGCATAATTACATGGATCTTAAAAAACAGAAATAACCTATGTAATGCAGCTATTATTTATGCAAGAAAGAGGGAGAGTGAACATGAAAAATAACACCTCTGATTCTTCGGTTTTATTGTATTAGATATGAAATTCAAATACTGTGGTTTTCGTCGCTATTCTGAGATATCTTTTGATTCTACCGGACAAACGATTTTTATGGATATTTTTAATACTCTTCTTTATTTCTTTCTTTTCTGTTTCAATATTTTGGTTCTTCTTTGTCGTATTTTGTCATATTTCCATTTCCCTCATTTGCTTTGTAAAATATTTGCATGTTTAATTAGAGATTGTTTTAAAACTTTTATGAATATAAAAATTGCTTTTACGATACGAAACTAGAAGTGTATCCCGAAAGAAATGACATAAATTTCTTGATAACAGCTAACAACCATGCTATTAATCGCCGAAAAGACAAACAGTAGTTTCAGATGTCTAAGTCGTAACCAACCAATAAACTATGTTTTTTTGACTTCAATGAAGTTTACAGCTCTCCCTTCAAACCCCAACTACTGCACTGCTCAATTACAAGAGCTAAAAGTTGTTTAGATTTCAAAAATTTTCCAAGAGATTGTATGATTCATTATAGAGTGAAATACATTACCAAAGAATGGCACCCACTGCTTTTCAGCGATAAATTTTAACATATGCTTGCTGCATTCTCCAAAAGGTTTTCCTCTTTTTCCAGCACATTTTCCATAGTGTCGGATTCTTCTGCCTGAAAATATATTTAAGTACGGGACTTTCTCTTTTTTCTTTTTCAATGTTAATGACAAGGAACAATACGTCCAT